TCATCTTGGATTTCTTAAAACATATATCGTCACCTTCTGTTGCATTTTATTTTAATACAGTACGTTTATTGGTCTGATCTGCCTTTAAGTTGTTGTCAGTAACAAGCTGTTATAACTGAGATTCAGGCTACATCCGTACTACTACCTATAATGGCATTTTCAAAGCAAGACGATCTCTGTCCACACGCGTTTTGCTCCATATGAGTTTTAATCCCCGTCCATATCAACACATCTGAAAATGTATATCACACGTCTGAAAATGTGTATCACGTATTCTCTCACTGGGCATGCGTGATACACAGGAATGGCTTTAATATTCACACGTCTCTTACTCATGCAAGCAACTGTATCATTGTAAAGTGCAGAATTTAACTGCACAACAGCTGTTAGCAAAGACAACAGGGTCAGCAACGCTTGTAATTGTTATCCATGTTGGGTTGTACACTGGTAGCCGGGGATAATCCCTATTGCTTTCTTCTGTAAAAGGGGTCATTTGATAGGAGCCTGATGAATCAGTTAAGGCTACATTGTGACTGATAAAGACCCAATCAGCAAGCGGTTGTGAGTTTCTTCGTCATCTTTTTCCAAACATCCCAGATTCTGCCCATCCCGTCTAAAAAGCTTCCCCAGAGTTTTATAACTAAAACGGGGCCAGCAGCCTTTCCAAACATCTCCATTTTAGCAGCTTTACAACTCCGGAATAATCCTTATCAGAGTTCATGTGTTTTCAAGCGAAATGTAGTAGTGTGGATGTAGCCTTGGTAAAACTATCGCTTACACTAAATAAATCTAACTGAATGTTTAAATAGGGTGACAAGTCTTTGGTGGCCTTTATAAAGGTCATTAACAGTGAATAGAATGATATATAATGAGGTGTAGCTTTACAAATTATAACTAACCTTAGATTTTGGCTCATGACACTTTTTATGTGCCTCATTATGTCATCCTGTCAGTCTCAACTTAAGTCCTTTGCATTCCTTTCATTAAGGCAGTAACCTAATGAGAGCTGAGACCTGCCTTACCTACTGACACAGCCTCCCCCCTAACTGCTTCCTGTTCTTCCTCCATCATCTGTCAAATTTCTTTGCCTCACCTGCCCAAACAAAGATGGCGCACAGCCTTGTTGTTAGTCTACTTGTTACGCTGTCTCTCTGTATATCTGTCATCCTCTACTCTGTGTCAGCGACTCTTTCAGTGTTTATTCTCGGGCAGTAGGAGTGCCACCCCTGCAGGCAGCAGGTGCTCTGGGGTCCTAATGATTGTCTGCTTCCAAATGGTAATCAGGGCATCCCTGCTGCGCCCTGGTCTTTTCCAGTTCGAGGTGCGGCAAAACAGAGCTCAGCAGATCAATTAGCACTGCCCACCTTTTTTTTCACCGGAGTGCTGTTGCAGCTGTTGGCATCCTCTTTTTTTTTTTAGCTATCGTTATCACTCTGCGACATCGCTGCTGTTTGGCCCTCCAGCCTCCCGCTGTTAGAAAAGTGGAGTGCTTATGTAAACTGATAATAAGTTGTCTGTCTGCAAATATGCTGGACTTCCCCTAGACACAGACAGTGATGCAGCGATTGTCCAACACAGTCTTTCCTAAACAGATTCTAGACACAGACTGTGCTGAATTGTTGCTGCTGTTGTTCTAGGGTGCAAACGTTGTCTTTTGCCTCATTCTTTATGTGTATATGTGTACTAACAAAGGACGTGTTGTGAATGTGTGGGTCTATAGGGGAATAAGAGGCTGACCTCGGTACAATGCTCTACAAAATGGTGTGATTATGACATGGCCATGGTACCATAATGCAGGTCAGACAATGACCTATTTAAAAAATTCCCAAAAGACAGGGCAGGCGGCTGCTGCTCAGCCAGTCTGACCCTCTCTGTCTGTCCATGTGTTTTTTTCTTCCTCTTTTCAGACTTTTACTTTAATTAAACTTTATTTCTCTTTAAAATGCTGTTGTCCTTTGTTTACGTAAGCTGCTCCTCAATACTTCTCAGTTGTTGTTTTATTTTGTTTTGCTCTTGACGGCATGTTCAGGTGTGGCTTTCGACTCTTTTTTTGTTTATGTATCTGTCTGTGTTTATCTCCGTACCCTTGTCTTAATATGTCTGGTTTGTCTGCCCTGCAACAGCCCTCAGTGAGCAGCGGGGCCGGCCAGGGAATCACTAAGCTATTGGTTTAATGATGCCAGCTCCTACTTTACAGGGATTTACATGTCTGTGTCTCTAAACACCCAGTCCATACACACAAATACTTGCACAACAACATGCATGGGTATGATAGGATGGCTAGACAAACACTCTGACACAGATAGCATAGTGCTGTCGCTGTCCTTCCCTTCTGCAGATTGCATCTGAAAGCTCTATAATTTCTCTTGTCAGACAGATAACAAGGGTCAACCATACCTGCAGACATAACACATAGGTGTCCAGCCTGCTGAATAATTAGCAGCAGAATCAGACAGATGGAAAAGCTTACAAACACACACTCACGGCTTCCTGCAAGGTTTGAGTAAATAGTGAAACAATTAAAATGGAGCAGTATCATTGAGACCAATGACAAAGCTCATGTCTAAGGCCTGTGATGTCTTGGGTGGGGAGGGGACATTAAACAGCGGCGTGAGTGGTTGTGACTATGACAATGCAGGAGGCTTGAAAATCGCACATGACTGGAGGAGCAGAAGAGAGGAGGGAAAGAAAAAATGAGGAAGGGGAAAGATAGAGAAAGAAAAGAAAGTCCCTTATGGTGTCATGTCAGGTGTTTTCTGGTCGTCTAGCGGATCCATCTGCGGGAAAAACAAGTGTAAAGAACAGAGTGGGAAGTTGAAGAGGAGGAGCCAAGATATTTAAATCCTGTCTGGGTTTCAAGTAGACCATGGGCCTTTTAATCTCATCCACTTGTCAAACATACACACAGGGCCAGGCAGACGTCTAGCTAGCCTATTTTCATGTGACCTGAATTCCCCAGTGTGGCATTTTTTTCCTTGCCAGGCTAATCTCATTAAGTTGGGTGCAGAGCTAGAGAACAAACACACAAGGCATCCCTCACTCCTACTCTGCCCTCTTCTCCTCCTCCTTTTGTCTCCTCTTCATCGCCTTCACTTTTTCCATCAACCCCTCTCCTCCTCATTGTCTTCTTTCTTGCTTCCATTTTTGCTCCTGTCCTCCTTCCTCTACGTCCTCTACCGCCTCTTCCTCCCACTCACTTGTCTCCCATATCTGTCTCCCTTTTTCTGTCTAATTATGGCCTGCCACAGCAGAGGAGAATAGAGCAGGTCTAGCTAGGCGATGGAGTCGAACCTCTGGAGCCACCTCTGCTCCCAGACGCACAATCAATCCTCATTATTGCCAGCTCACTCGCCTTCTCCTTCGCTTCTATGCGTCTGCCAGTTTAAGCTCCACGCACCTTCATCCGCCAGCCTGTGGAAATCAGCATAGTGCATTATTGCATATGTGACAACCCCGATTCTTGGTCGACAGATTACAGTTATTTACAATCGTCCCGATCTTGCAGCCTACTTTCAGGGGTTTTGATTGTGTGTTCACACGCATGAAATTGTGCATATAGTTATTGTGTAGGTGCAGCACACACAAAAAAGGCCACACAGCGAGCAAAGTTATTTATAAGATAAGTGCCTTGTATCTGAAGCAGGGCACAGAAGATGGAATATAAAATGCTGCCACGTGCAGTTCTGTTACAGATGGTTCACCCAGATTGGGGGTGTAATCTCAGCTCTCACCAGGCGGCCGTTGTGAATCTAGTCTTAGCTGCTATAAGCAAATTCTTGGGCAAAACAAGTCATCGTTAGAATGAATCATTTTTGTCATGAAAATAAATCATAAAAGACTCTGGCTGTAGAAATCATAAAGGCCTTTATTGCCTCTAATGGAGGTTCCTAATAGTTTGTTTTTCCAAGACCAAAAATATTTCAGATTCAATTATCTTTGTTTTACTTTCTAAGGTTTGAAATGTGTCTCACACAGCAGAGGGGAGTTTTTTAATGAAAGCTTTTTCTGATTTATAGATCTATACATTGAAGAGTGAACTGGCTGACTTGGCACCTAACTCTACTGTTTTTTACAGGGCTGCGACTTACAATACTTCCAGGGAATACACTTTCCTTCTTTCATGACTAAAATGGAGCAGGATTTAACCCCAGAGGAAGTTACTGATCAGTACTGTCTAAGGCTTCCTGCTTTAATGAATTTAATGAGTTAAACGGTGTTTCAGCCAAATCCAATACAATTGAAGTAAATGGTGACCGAACGATTCTTTAAACGTTAAAAAACCACAGAATTAAACATAAAATGCCACCATACTGCTCCTGTGGTGTCATCCAAGTGTCCGTAATCCCCGACATTCAGATTTGTCTTGAAACAGCGTCATTAACACCATGTTTTAATCCTAAATGATATCCTCCTCTGGAGCCGCGTTTGGCATGGATCACAGCGGACATTTAGGCTTATAACATGGTTTAAGTATACTCGTTTCCAGTCGAAGTTAAAAGAGTGGGTTTACGGATACTTGGATGACCATTTCACTATTTACTTCAATAGTTTTTTTACCCCTGATACTCTGGAAGTGTTTTGTGGACTCAAACACTTCATCCCCCCCACCTTCTTTGTGTGAAGAACTTTGTAAATAACTCATCATGTCATCCACTCAACCCTGTGTCTTATTCTCCATCCTTCCTACACCTGTCTCTTCCCATTCTGTCACTTGTCACAAGTGACACTTGTCTTTGCCCCTAGACGAAACGTGCTGTGACATGTTCCGATCAGTGACTTAAGAGGTCACCTCTCTTCCCTCGCTCAGACCTTGGCTGAAAACTTAGTAACTCTATTCCTTCTCTCCTTTTCATCATTCTCTTCCTCCGCCCCATCTTCTCCACCTCTTGGTTACCCCCTGCTGATCACTCTATCAGGAGGCAATCATTTAAAAACACCATCATAAGTGAAACCACTGTTGTGGGAAACCAATTAACCTTTACATCCTCCCTCTCCCCCAGGCCCAGGACCTGAATGTGATTGAGGAGGTGATCCGCATGATGCTGGAAATCATCAACTCTTGCCTTTCCAACTCTCTCCACCACAACCCCAACCTGGTGTATGCGCTGCTCTACAAGAGGGAGCTCTTTGAGCAGTTCAGGATGCACCCCTCCTTCCAGGACATTATGCAGAACCTGGACACGGTCAGTCCGATTCTTTTTCCTGGTACTTAACCTAAATGTCAATCAAGAAGTGAATTGAGAGGAGTTTGGTACCGGTAGAGCTTTACATCAAGGCATTGGCTGATTTGAGGTAATTATTCAGCACATCAAGGTTATAGAAATTTTTCCCCTGAATGTCCTCTCCATCTGCAGGCAAAGTTTCAAAAAGCCAGGCAGCCCTGGAACACATGCAAACTGCATCATTAACATAGTGTGTAGTTGGACTGTACAGCAATGCAGAGCTCTGTGAGCTTAAGTAGTATTGATGAATTAATCAGTCCCCTTGTGTCGAGAGGCTCTGTGTCAAATATTCATTGAGAGTGTTCGGTGTATTGGGGGAGGAAGGGACGGAGCAAGAGAAAGCTGTCATTCATAGCTGTATTAGTCATGTCGAGGAGGAAAGAAAGCTTTGGTGTGTATGTATGAAGGATGGGGGTTGCTGCCATGGGCTTTGCTGTTATCCATAAGTATGAGGCAAGCATGCTAGCTAGAATCCCTCAGTTAAGTCAGTCTCCCTAAGGCTATTCTCCAAAGCCTTCCCCATGCTTGCAAATCCGTGTGTGTGAGCATGAGATTCAAGATGAGGGCCTGCTTTTTTGCTCCTCTAAATTAACCCCATATGGAAGGTCTTCGGAGTTAATGAAGAGATTAGTATTAGATAGATGTAGGCACACACGCACACAGTGTTCTTGCAGGCTCTGGTGTATTTGAATTTTTCTGGAGCATACGGCAGAGAACGGGCAGAGAAAACATTGCCTGTAGATGCATTTTTCCACTGTTGGTTTGACAAAAAAAGAGAGCATTAAAAAGAATCAGTTATACCTAGAGTTTTTTAATGATCAAATATCTAACATTTCTCCGGGGAAGAACCTAGCACAAGAAATGCAAAATACAGTTTCCTTGATCTCTTGTTTAGCTTAAACCCAGAAGGCATCAGATAATTTGAGCTCCAGTGAAGTGCTTATTATAAGTGAGAAGAAACACGCTCTTACCCTTTGGTGAATTTGTCTTCTGAAATACTACATGCGATTCTTTGCTGAGTATGTAGCCTACAGGCATATTAGCCAAGCCTATGTTCATAGAACTCGTACATTTTTATAACCATTTTCTCAACTTTCATTCACTTTCTTTCAAATATTCTCACTCAATATTGTGATGTAGTTGCGCTGTATTCTTGCTTTTTCAGTGCAATGCACTGCTGCTAGGAAACTTGACAACAAATGGATGGATCTTATTAGCTGTTGATGCAATTAGAAAAAAAATGTCATGTCAAAGGGATCAAAACAAGCTCGCTGCATAGATTTAACAGAGATGTATGTGGCTCTTGATGTGGTTAACAGGGTGGAACACTAACATTAGTGTTACTACGTTAAGAAGTAAACCTTCTATATGTAGCTTGATGCCACTTTTTTTCTAGCTGAGATATTGCACCCGGTGACATCATGTTATAGGGTGTGGCTGCATCAGTGTGATAGCTCCAAACAGTGGGATTAAACAAGTCCAAGAGCCTCATGACAGAATTGGTGCTTGATGTAAACCTCAGTGAGATCAAGATGACATGAAATCCTGTGTATATAAAAACAGGAACTGGATTTAATATTGAAAGATTTGAACTAGAGCCTGACCAAATCTGGAATATTGAGGCCAATACTGATAACTGATGACTTATAATTTAACAAAATACTCCTGATTTCTCTTTTTGAAATCTAAACACATATCTTAAATTAGAAGGGAGAACTGTAGAGGAGATACAGTACATCCACCAAGACCCAACAATCCCCTTATGAAACCACATTTAAATTCACTAGATCCTGATTTTTATTTGGACCTGCACCAAATTGATCACATTCATAAAAATATCAGTCCTGGAAACATGCCTAATCTTTTTTCCTCATTTCCCCATAATGGGGAGTACGCTAATTAGCTTCTGGCTGTAGCTTCATATCAAGTGCACAAGGCATTATAAACCATCTCTATGTGTTTTTTGGTCGAGTTGAGTTCTGTGTTATGATTGGCTTTTTCCTCTCATCTGGCCATTAGGTGATTGGCTTCTTCAGTCAGCGTCTGGAGCAGGCAGGAACTGACCTGTCAGTTGAGAGGGTTCAGGAGGTCATCATGAAAGGAGCACAGGCCCTGCCCAGTGACAGACTGAAGGTAAATCACACACACTCACACACCTGCATACATTTTCACATCACAGTATGCTGGTACACTTTGTCTAGTTTTTGTGGACGAGCGTCTAGCAAAAGAAGAGTTTGGCCAATCCTCGTTCCAGGGAGGTTCTCTGCACAGATGTGTTCACAACAGCAACAAATCCTCCGCATTATTCAGGTGAGAGGTGGAGCAGCCAGTTGCAGCAGATAGACGCAGGAAGTGACGTATTAATTCTGCTGTGGCGATCACATAGTCATGTTTACAGCACCCTGACACCGTCATCAGCTCTTATTACCACAAACTCAAGCAGATACAAGAGAAATTTGTTTTCCTGTTGATTTTTTTTGCGTCTGTCGCTTGCTAGAAACATCATCAACCCCCCCACTTACAGGCGCTGAATCCAGCGGGTGATTCCCTGCTGTGTTCACACTTTGAATTCTCCTGATTTTCTAAAGACTTATAATAGGAGACCAGGCAGAAAGTCTGCAGAAACCACAGAGCCTCTTACTCGTACATTTGCGTTCACACATGCACCTTTTCTGAAAAAACACAGAGGATCTGCTGAGTACAGTGCATGTCTAAGAGCAGCATAATAATAATATAGTAAAATAATACCCCCACCCACTCAAGTTGTACTCCAAGACTTCCCTCGAGCTTGGCTGGTCTGCAAACACACTCACACACATGCACACACAGCAAAAGGACAGATAGGATGGCAGAGCATGGAGACGAAGAATCATGAAAAATCTCTGGCTGAGGAAGAAATGGGACATATTGGACAACAGGATTAATTCAGAATCAAACAATGTGTTGTTTAAGGCTCCGAGCTACGGTGAATTGGTGCGGGTAGGTAAAAAAAAAGCAAATTAGTTTATTCTGGGCATGTGAGAGGAGGAGAGGTATGGTATAGGTATATGGACTGAGGCAAGGGAAAGATGGAAAGAACCATTGGGACGTGAGACAAAAGGCCAAAGCCCAATTCTCATTAGCATTAATGCCCATCTTCATTCCATCTCTGCTGGCCGGCTACACGCCAACATGTAATGACATTTCAAGGAGATGGGATAGGGGGCTATGGCGCACTTTGTCATGGGCACATAAGATCAGGAGGAGGGGGTGAGGGGACATAAATCTGCCACAGCGCCTCGTTACCCAACGCCCAACTCTCCTGGCGGGTTCGCCAACCCCCCGCCCCTCCCAGTGCTCCACCATTAATCAGTGAGGAAATATGTAACCAGTGGTCTCCTCACCAGCACTGAAGCTCTTAATTGCATGTTTCATCATGTGTTTCATGTTCTATACTTGGCGGCTGGCTGCAAGGCATTTGTCTCGCTAGCTGATGTGGAAGAGGGATGGTGCATGGCCACGTGGGATCTCCTCTGTCTCACTCCCCGTCAGCACATCAGAGCGCTAATGTAGCGATCGACCATAAAGCTGTAGAATTACACACAGAGACATGTGGATAACCCTGCCATGTCCTTCAGTGAGGCTGCCATACCTGTAGCACACACTGAAGCACACAGCTGTGGCTGGGATATATGTGTAACAAGCATGTGTCGTCCTCTCTGTCTGCGTGCGTTTGCAGGCGATGGTGATTCTGTGTATGTAGCCATGCGTACTGGTTTTTGTTTCTGTGCAAAAAGTGCTGTGGAGTCTCACACTGACTCTCCACCATCTGAGTGTTTTCCAGCTCCACAGGGTGACGTGATGCTTCCTCAGGGAGAAGTCCCAGGCACTTGATGGTACCATCGCTCAAACAAACAGCTGTCCCTCTACCTCTTGCCTCTCTTTTATCTTATGAGCTCCTTCTGCTATTCAGCCTCCAAAGCGGAAATCCATAGGTTGGATTAATGTTGTGTGGACTCATCGATACATTGTTAATTACGCAGTAAAAGCTCCTAGAAGGAGTATTGGTGTCTCAGTCAGTTGTGCATGGAGAGGCCGGACAAGAAAGAGATGTAAGGGTGATTGTTCCTCTCTCAAACAAACAAAGACACATTCAATCCAAATCTGTAATTCAATTTTTTTTTCATTTATTAGAGGAGTCCCCCTATCCTGTGGTAATTATTACACTTAATAGAAATACAGTGCTTGTCATTTTCTCACCACCTATACCAGGCATTGACAGTAAGCAGCACTAATGTAAGCAGCATTGTCATATTTATCTTCCTTCTTTGTCTCAAAAAACGATTGTTGGGAGGAACTGACAGTTGACAGTTGCAAAGTAAATAACTTTGTTTATTATCAAATGACTAAAGCATCTTGTTTTTGGCAAGGGGGACGCTATACATACAAGTAGTCTGTTTATGTAAAGCACTTAAAAGCATTTACACTAAATGCAGACATGTAAATTAGGTCCCAACTGAAAGAAAGGGTTAAAAAGAAGGTGGTAAATACCCCAGGGACAACCCTCAGTGCCTCGTCACTCAAGCTCCCTTCTCTCTCATTCTTTGTGTGTGTGTGTGTGTGTGTGTGTGTTGTTTCAGAGTGTATGAGACTAAGAGGCTCTCATGGGCAGTGCCCTTTGGAATGTGTTGTTTAGCCTGACCAGCTGAAATCTGCCTTATTGAGCAGCGATAGCCCACAGACTCTCTGGCTCCTCAGGACAGGATGGCGGGGATGGGGGGTGGGCATGGAATGGTGGGGGGTTGGGTGCTTACCAGCTGTTACTCAGTACCTGGTCCTCAATACGTCTGATGGCCACTACACACGACACAGTTTCACTCTGAAGACAAAGTTAAACTTCTGAAATCCTTTTGTTTGGGATTGTATCCTGTGTATTACGACCCGTTTTAACATCAGATTGTTTCCCTTGGATTCAACAAATAGCCATTTAGATGTATATACACATACTATACCAAAGTACTATTTATTTTTCTTGAGGGGAACTGGCAAATGAATTGTGGTGGGACTACAATGAATAGAAAAAAAATCAGCAAAGTCATTAGGATTCATCATCGGTGAACGATAAATGTCTGTCCCAATGTGAATCCGTCACGTCTCTCATCTTTTCTAAATGCACTTACAATGTACATAACGTGGTTGAAACAGGATTAAAACCTTTCAGGAAAAGAGGCGAACATTAGCATGTCCACTGTGTGTCATGTCAGAGCCAGAGCCATTTTCACAGTGATGGACCCATGTGCACTATCATGAACGCATGTTCGTACAAAGAACAGAGAAGCTCGTATCAAAACACAAACAGATGGAGTGTGACTTCATTTGCTGCACAGGACGCCATTATACAACTATATCTTTGATTAGCGATACAGCTTATCCTTCAAGTCATGGCGAGAGCTGTGGCCAATCTCAGCTAACATTGGGAAAGAGGCAATGCACACTGGACAATCGCCAGTCTATCACAGGGATGACATACAGAGACAAACTCGCTTTCACAGACCTACAGGCAATTCAGAGGTTCCAATTAGCCTTTAGACTCTCCGATTAACCGAACCGGCGTGTCTTTGTAGAAAGACATGCAGAAAACTCATAAAGGCACGAAAGGGTACATGCAAACTCCACAAGTTTGACACCAGTCTTCTTGCTGTGAGGCAACAGTGCAATCCACTGAACGACCGTGCCCGAATCTTTATTAAACCTCTAAAGTGAATGATTGTTGCAAACCCTTTGTTTACAATGAAACAATATCAAATTACAGCATTTTTATATAATGACCATGAATTTTATCAAACAAGTTGAAGATTGTAATACAACCTTTCAATGCTTGTGTGCGTACCTACTCGCGTGTGTGTGTGTGTGTGTATTGAGTTCATAGTTGCTCCCTGGCCGCATTCTTCTCTGTCTGGCCGAGCTCTGACAGCACAGCAGCGTGCAGAGGAGGAAGGGAACACGGCGTCCTGAGTGAAGATATGAGGCCAGCCAGTCAGTCTGTGTTCAGGGGCGAGGGCCTGACCCGCCAGGACCCATAACTAACTGATATGAGCTCGGGCCAATTGGGCTCAGACAGCTGCCAGAATGAGAACAAAACAGAGGAGGGCAGGAGGCGAGAAGACAACAGAGCGCCAGAGGAAAGAGAGTAAGCCACAGTATAGACAGACTAAGGCGACGGAGATAATATTAGGGTGTTAGATGCTCCAATTTTTCCCAGAAAGCACTGGAGCATGGAAGATACATTTTTTTCTGTGACACGTTCTCTATGTAGTGATATCCAAGACTTTCCAAAGAACCAAATCCCTTGGTGGCTCCTGTCCAATATAACAGTAGGAGGAAAAACGGAGGCCATTGTGATTCAGACATCATTTTTCTTTTCTTTTTTTTTTCATTTTGTGTTCAGTCTCAAGTGAATGTGGTTGAATGTGAACAGGGGGCTTTATGGTGGTGCAGTTTAGGTTCATAATTTCTTCTACAGAAGGCACTTGTCTTGAGAAGCACTCATTCTGATAAAGGATGTTTGTGATAACGGCACAAGATGCATAATTTTCACATGCTTTTCAGTCTCTTGGCAAGTTGTGAGACTATGCCTGTTTTACTGATGTGAAACCACAATAAGCCTTGATCATTAAAGGAGTAGTTTGATATTGTGGGGACTATGCTTACTTGCTTTCCTGTACAGAGCTGGATAAGAAGATCGATATTACTGTCACATCTTGGATATGAAGCTTGAGTCTGGAGATGGTTAGCTTAGTTTAGCATAAAGACTGGAAACAGTTGGAAATGGAAAAAAAGTTTAAAAATGAATGCGGGAGCCAAGAAATAGACCAACACATTAACCTCCATTTCCCTGAAAATATATAAATATGTAAAAATATATCTAATGCTTCTGACGATGCTTACATGCCTGCTTGTCTCGACATGAGTTTCCATGATGCCACGCTCCTCCCCAGTTCTCAATAAACACATAAAATCCTGTCATATAATTTAGGGATTTTGTGCCTGGCTCCCTGTTTGGCTTCCGTTTGGACACATGTTGAACCTTGACAGCAGCTCGCAGGAGAGAGCTCAGCAAGCAAAACCATGTGTTTCGTTTCTGTATTCCCAAGTCTTTCCATGACACATTAAACCTGAGTGGGCTGAGAGAGGATCATACTTGATCCCAAGAGAGAATGCTGAGTAATTCAGGAGTAAAAATTGATTCTATGTCTCGATCAAACCTACATTAACAAAAAATTGAAATGTGTATGACAGTAATTGAGTGAAGACCATTTGCAAGGTTTAAGTAGAGCTCTGTTTTGTTTCACCTGTTCCTCAGTACTGTGCTTGCTGTGTTCAGAGGTCATGATGATGAAGAGCTCCTCATATTCGGATTCCTCATCACGGTTTGAAACAACATATAAACTGCAATATTGTTATTTTATTGCCCCGCCTCTAAGCTAGCTTATAAAGTGCAACATTACTGTATATTACCACAGTGGCTCATGTCTGTCTATAAATGTGTTCTTATGAAAACAATAACTTACTCCTCACACCATCATCCTAAAATAGATGATGAGTTGTCTGTAACACTGATACATTTATTTGCACATTAATGAGGGAGAAATTTGAGATGGCGATATTAATACCACACGTGTTGTTTCACAATGTGTCGACATTGCAGTATTTGCTGATTAATGCTTTAATTATCCTAATTACCTAATTAGCATAACTGGTTTATGTTTCATATATCATGGTGATTATAGCAGGACGAGCCCTTTGTTTTGTTTGTGCTAGTAAATCACTTTCCACCCAAAATAAACAAGGAACTTTAAAACCTGAATTACATGACGTCCCCTGTGCTCACAAGTAAAAGTGAGTCTGGTTTGAGTAACCGTCACCGTCGGTGTCATATGAACATTTGACGAGTAAGTGAGCTTGTCCAGGAGAGAGTCACCCACACACAAACACCAGCCAGATAATAGCGCTCCTGCATTGTGTCTCGTTGTCACAATGGCAGTGGTGTGTGTGGTCTAGCCTCAGTAGCCTGGCATATGGCCTGTGACCCCATAGCCCCTCCGTCTGTGTCAATATGATACCGATAATGTGGCGGTGAATAGAGGAGGCAAGGACTCAATAGAGCAGACTGGGAGCATCTCATAAAAGGGCCTCAGCGTCTGTCTTTCACCGCAGACTGATTACTGGCTGCATGTGTGCATATACATGCATGTGTAGACAGGAGGGTATAATAAGGCAGCGTTGTATTATTGATGCTCTTTTGCTACCTGCCTGCTGTTAGGTGGGCTGGCAGAGGTCTGGTCTGGTCTGGTCTGGTCAGTGGGCTTGTGTTTAAATTTGAATAAAGACCTTATCAACCACTATTTCCACTGTAGAGTGTATAAAATGGAACTGAAACGATTCTGATCATCAGTAATTGTTTAAGTTAGTTTTAGATGTTTGTCCTTCTCTGATTCCAGCTTCAAAAACTGTGGAGATTTCCTGCTTTTCTCTGTTTTAGATCGTAATTTTAGTAAATCAGGTACATTTTGGCTGCCTGAAATAAAATTATTAGAATATTAAGACATTTTCACTACATTCTGACACATAAATAAAAATAATATATAGAAAATAATTATTTGATATATCGACAAACTGAAGATTGTTAACTGCAGTGCCAGTCTCAAAGTATGCACTTACATTCAAGACATTCTTTTTGGAAAAGTGAATTAAATTGTCAACAATTGACACACATATTTCTTCCACGTATAGCTCTTAAAATTCATGTATTTGGTGCAAGATAAAGGACAATATGCATACTTCTTTACTCAATCCCCTTTTTTGGATTTTATTTCAGTTTATTTCACTTTTTACATAAATCAGCTGAGACGACTAATACTCATCTGTTGTGCTGGCTGCATGATACTCTGTTTAATTGACTTAATTCTTTCAGCTTTAAAATGCACTACAAGGCCCCTTTAATTCAACTGAGCTGCACCAAATTGTACACACTCATAAATATTGGTAACCTTAATATGCCTGATTTTTCTTGACATCAACATCCATAAATAATTTTTGTAAAAATGTGTAGAAAATCCCCAAATATAATCTATAATATAATAATGTGAAAGGAAGGGAAAAATCCTGGATCTGCCTAATTGTCCAGACCGAGTAATCCGGTTACACAGCACTTGTTAACAATAAGGTCACGATGTCTGACACACTACTCTACACTGTGTTTTCTACACTCACTGGAACTGATGTCTATGCCCTCACTTAGTTTCTGAACAGGCTATAAGTGACTATGCAGTCATACTTCTTTTCTCGTACAGCAGCGGTTGTCGATATCCAGTCGCCTCCTGGGGTTAAGAGGTGACATTACATCATTAGCCAGTCTTTTAAAAGGTCATTGGTTCGGACCAGGGAGTGATACCTGTATGCAGGAAGCTGTGTCCGAATTTACCTCACAGTCAGACTAGATTACATCTGCCGGCAAACTACTGTACCTGATGAAGAGTGAATACACAGAGAGGTAGAGAGAGGCCTGACCTACCTACCTGCAGGGCAGCGCCTCCACCCGTCAGACGGAGACGTCACTCCACTGGTCACATGAAATGTGGTTGGAGGCAGTTTCATGGTATTGTTGGGGTCGGAGGTCCAACAATAGTCCTCTGTTAAAGAACACTGCATGAACTTTGAATGCCTTTAATGAACATCCATGCAACGTCATGAGGCATTATACACATTATACTGTGTTGCCTGATCATTGCCTCAAAGTATAGCTGCTTTTAACGACAGTGACATTCTCCAGAAAGACAGAATATTTTTGAATAATTACTTAAAACGTCCATTAAAATAAAAGTTTCACCTTCCTTTCCTTCATAAAAGAAAAATGTCAGCTTCTGATAACACTTAGTGCTTAAATAAATCCTAAATTCTTGTTTTGAATTTGGTTGAACATCTATCGGTGCTCAGACATCTAGGACCTTCGCACCTCTTCACCTAAAAAGCAGCTTTCAGACATGCACTAAAGCCTGGAGATTGTTCTAAATGTATCCATGTAGGGAGAAAAGAATTAAGAGTGTGACACTTTTACTTGACGGACATGAAACAGAAAAAAAACAATGTAATACAAATATCTCGGGATGAAAAAGAAGAGCAATACATGTCAACTTGGAAAGACGACAATATCCAAGAGCTTTTGGAGATACGGGCTGGCGCTGGTGCCGGAGTGCTGTAAACAAAAAGATATGATTTTCACTGGAAATTGCATACGTCATGTGCTGGCGCCTCCCCTCACATGAAAGTTGAGGATTGTTGTGAACACATCTGACCTGGACAATCTCCTGCTGTGCTCTTCATATTTAAAAGACAAACACTGGAAAATGTCCTAAAGCAATTTTCTGGACATTTTCAGGAGTTCATGTTCGAAAATGGCTCGAATCACATTAAAGAAAAAAACTGCCACGTCATAGCTCACTGAGACAGAGCAACACAAAGGAGCCATTGTTGTTAAGAATAACCCATTTTTCTGACTGTGGAACATCAAACGTTTTGTTGTGCAAGATATCAACAGGTTTCACTAACAAACAAAGCAAATATCTGCGTTTAGAATTAACACAGTGATATCGTCACCTTTGATTCTGCTTTTAATCACTTTTGTATCTTTCCATCTTTCTCCTTTTCTCTGTTTGTGTGAACAGAAGTTTCCTGAGCTAAAGTTTAAGTACGTGGAGGAAGACCAACCCGAGGACTTCTTCATCCCCTACGTCTGGTCCCTGGTCTTTAACTCTGGAGTCGGCCTCCACTGGAGCCCACATGGCATTGAGTTGTTCAGCATGGACTCTGGCTGAAACGCCGGCTGCTGCAGACAGTGTGTGCGTCTCCATCCCTGTCCAGTGACTGACAGCGTGTGTATGTGGGTGTTTATGTGGGTTTTGTGCACATTACCCTTTATAAGTATGTGCATGCTGCTTTGAAAGTGCCTCGACCTTGTACAGAACGGTTTTTCTTTTTACGCAGCACCACCTGTTTTTTTCCCCCCACATGTCCCAATAATTCCTCTGATTCTTCACGGCGAAGCTTCACCTGTGTACAGTCAGTCCTGTAGTGAAAACCTGTTAAACATCAGCTCCACCTGCTTCCACAGCACACACCGACGCACATCTCTTCCGTTGTTGTGTCGAGCTCAGGACACCGGCTAAGGATAATCCCACATTTTTAGTTTTCTTGCTTACAAAGAAAAAAAAGGTCAAATTAAACAGATAGGCTTAATGCTTCATGCACACTACAAGGTTTTTGTTTGAAAAATCATCAACTCTGTTACGGACACATCTGTCCTCCACACTACTCCGAGGTTTTAGAGCAGCTAAACTGAAGGTTGGGCCGAGTTTTAGTTTGAAAACTGGGGCTGCTTTTAGTCTTGACAGGCAGAAACTTGAGATGCTTGGAAACGATGACGTAGACACTCACAACTGCTTTCAGATTGGGTCTTTTCGGTCACAATCTAGACTTTGCGTATTCGTCAAGCTCCTGTCACATGACCCCGATCCAGAAGAAAACACACTGCATTAACCTTGGCCTCCATTGTAGAACACAACATGAACAATCAATTACAAGTGTTACTGACCCAGTTGTCTTTGCTAACAATTGTTGTTCAGTTAAATTCAATATTTTACAAGGATACAACTGCTGACATGTTTTGGATGTGAGCTATTATTCGAACAATCTGCAACAGTTCCCAGCTAGACACGAATGCCCAAAGTATGTGGGTGATCACGTGATATGTGTTCTCAGGCGTGTTAGTGTGGACAAGGATTAAAACTGATACAGAGCCAAAACATTTATGTGGACCGATAGTTTTACTTGGAAAATGCTGTTTTCAAAAGAAAACATTGTAGTTTGGATGTAGCCTAAGTTACCCTGCTTTTATATACGATTATTTACTGCTGCACTGAACGCTAAAAAATAAGGTAATATTCAAGACAGGCAAAGTGTCTTTCACATTTTATTAAATGTCCTCTATAATACAGAAGTATGATTATCTCATAGATTGGTATTTTATTTTGCTCAGTTCTCAGAATACAATGGTTTTGTATAAAAATAGACTTGTGTTTGTGAAATTAAGTTGGAAAGAAGGTCACAGAAAGACAAATAGTCTCCCACAACTTCCGTTGTGTTGTAATATGCAGGGTTTTCAGATTTTAAGTGGGCCGGACTGAATAACCTGTTTAATTAATGCTTAATTTCAGTCTCTGGAGAATATTAGCACTCTGCATCACCCTGTTTAATGTGGTTTCATTGTCGCCATCGGCCCTTTCGTCTGACTTCACCCCGTCTTTGTCGTCGTCGTTCTTTTTTTCCCTCATAGTAACCTGAGGCAGATGCTTAAACCAGGGTGAGTCATTAAACCCTATTGTGCATAATTACACTTGTCTCTTAAATTTGTCACTTTATTTGCATGTTTATCATGTTTAGAGACTTTGTATGAAATTATTTATTTTCATGTATTTTGTTTTTTTAAACTTTCAGCCCCCTGCCCTCACAGAATAGTAGCAGTACTGAAATGGCTGCTATGTATGGAAGAAAAACAGTGGTACTTTACTTTGGTTGTTCCCAGGTGGGAAACTGGCTTTATATTATTACATATTATATGACAACAGCTGTCATTTTGTGGCAACTATTACTTTGAAAATAGGAGTTTGAATAAAAATCTAAATGGAAGCAGCAAAAGTGTCATGTGGTTAATAAACAAAGTGAAACGGCGTGATTCACAGAGAACGTATAGACTGAAAAATGGAGTATGAGATTTGTTGTAATCATTTTAAAATGGAACAATTTTTTTTTTTACCTTTAGACAGAACCATGCTAGCTGTTTCCCTCTGTTCACAGTTTTTATACTGAACTACAAACCTGCTGGCCTTAGCTACTTCTAGTCTAAAACTAAAACTGCAAGCAGTTAGTCAGATGGATGTACCAATGGTATACTATTTAATTTGAAATGTTTTCAGAGGCCTGAAGAAGTGGAACTATTTTATACTAAAAAGGAACATTGGAGAAATACCTCGACTCCATTAGGGGCAGACACAGTAATTGCAACAGACTAAGTGTAGTGCAGCTTAGAATTTATTTCTCTTTAGATGTCGTCAGTCCTTTTGCAGCTCTCTGTAGCAACCAGCACAAAAGAAAAATGGGTGTAATAACTCAACTGTCACACACAGTTTATTTCATCGCAGAATATTGATACACTTCAACACTCAGCGCGTCTCTTGTCTCTCATTGTTGCCTGTTGTGGTCATGTCTGCAGAGGCAGCAGAAACGGAGGCATGAAACCGCTTCGAGGGGGGAAAAGTTTAACAGCACAATGGTACCCGCTGTGTTGCATGAGCTCCCACTTCCCCGCGAGAATTTCATGCCTTTCGTCTCTTTTGTGTTGGATTCTCATGCCTGAAATTCTCTTATTCTCAAGGACAATGTAATGGATGCAATTCGATGTAAAGAATGGCCCATTTTCAGCTCAGGGGTCACTGGTAGGTTACGGCCAGACTGTACGCTCGAGGAGGAGACTGAAGCGCTCTGTCTTTCTGCACCGACTCTCACCTGCTTCCAGCTCCATTATCGCGTTGCCAGATGGTTGAGCGGAGGTTTTCACAAAGTGACATGGCTCTCCTTGTTCCTGAACGGCGCAGGAGGTCACCTTACCATGGGCTCCTGTTTCAGGTGGCAGCAGGAAGATGGATGGAGCAGGGGATTCTGGGATCGGTAGTTTATTTATTATTCTTTTTTAGAGGCAAGCGTGTTTTCCTCAAGGTCTAGGCGAGATTATATTGCAGCGTGGCTCCAGACGCAAAGGTCACGCCCAGATCAGCATCTGTCGAGCGCTGTAGAAAGTAGGGCGCTGGAGACCAGTTTGTTTAAGTGGCTCCGCTCAAAGTGCTGGTTGCCCCTAGTGACACCGAACTCATTAATATGACAGATCACCATGGTAACGATGGAAGGTCGTTAGGCTCAGGGGTTTTGGGATGAGGTCTCAGAAGCTCGCTTGCAACATGAAAACAGTTTGATACAGGAATAAATAGACAGAAATGTTGTGGCGTTGCGATCTCAAGTGGATTGAACAGAGTTTCAAAGAGCTCGATCGCTGACGGAAACACAGATAGAGAAGAGGAGATATTGGGATCTTGACATTTGCAAGATAACAGGGCTGCTTTCAGACTGGAGAAAACTTAACGTAAACAGTGGTGCCTTGAACAGTAGTGTGACACACTGTTGTTGCAACTATGGCAGCAGACGAGGTTCTTGGCATTCTTGTGAAAGAAATCTCAGAGGTAGATGACACAGGTTTGAATTTGAATTCAACCTTTATTGTAACTTTTCAAATATACAATATACAGGTCGCTGCTGATTGGGCAACACATTTTTGAGCAAACATGATGAAGGAAATATTTTTACTTTGCTCAGATTCTCTCTCCGCTGCCAGTCATTCACAGAAGCTGTGTAAGACACTTCAGCAATGTGCCTCAGTTTAGTCCAGACTGAAATCTCTCAACATCTGTTGGATGGATTTCATTTTTTTTTTACATTCATAGTCCCCACATGATGAACCCTGATCACTCTGGTGAACACCTGACTTTTCCTCTGATGCCACGCGCAGGATAAATGTTACAATTTAGCGGAAAATGTTTTGAATGCCGAGAAATTTGCTTCAGATGATAACCCAGAGAGGAAATCCTTGTTGATCCCTTGAGTTATGCAGCTCCACGAGCTATTCTCAACATCTACTCCATGGATTGTAAGATTTTTTTTTTTTGTTCAGACCATGAATGCAAAATCACATTGTTGATCTTCTGACGACCTCTGAATTATCATTTTAATGATTGCCTGACTTTTCATCTTTTTAAATTTCACCATTACTCATGACAAAATGTTGGATGGGCAAACAGACTGAACTCTCACCATTTGGCCTTGTCGCTCCTGCATGTGGAGCAGTTACACATAAGCAGATCTTCTAAACTGTTTCACTCTAACGGCCTATAAAAGGAACTGGGTCACCGAGTCCTCCAGCTACTTCAATAAAATGTCACAAATTGAATCCCTGAACAAAACCAGACTGAAGGAATGTGAACATAAAGTGACCTTCGCTGAAACTTTCATCACACAACAGCTTTTGGATGTGAGAGCCACACTGAACAAAACCCCCTTTAAATAAGAGAAAACCCCACACTCGGACAAAACCACATAAAAAATGTTCTGCAGACTTCACTCTGTAAATTGTATGTGATGCTCGGCTACATATGAACTTTTAATAAGCGCTGTACATAAATATATGATGGACGTATGTAGGAGTGTAAAAAAAACACATGGATGCATTATCAGCACCAAACAATTGGACATTTTTGATTAATGTTGTGTCAACGCCGGGAAACTACACATAGAGATAAACCTTGACTAAATATTCTGACATGGAAATAAAACTCTTATATACTCTTTATACTTTGACCTGTAACAACCCACTGAGAGGTCAGTTGGCTAAATCAAGCATGCGGTGACTAAGAACTAGAACTTAATGTCGCCGAGCTTCTCGCTTTACACCCAAGGAATTTTTATTCTTTAATTATCCGGTGACATTTACCAATGTGGGTGTTTTTGCTCTTTCCTGACAAGATATCAGAGGGAAAAAAGTCTTGCCTATCGTTTTAATTAAAGTTGTCTTATGCTTATTGTTCTTATCTTAGCGATGATGAGCTCTCTGTGTGCCATCTCTGCCCTGTTCGTGACTCGCAGAGATTAAGCCCCTTTAATTGCATGTGCATGGCCCATTGTCTGGAAGCAGTCACTGTGTCAATAAATTTTAGTAAAGGCCAGGACTGCTATCTGGAATATTAATCATCCAGCTACATCTATAGTGCTGTTTTACCCCCATTGTATGATCTGCTTTAGAATTAGCTGTGTGGACCATAAGACTAAATCACGGTCTTCTTACTCAACATTATAACATTTAGGTTCAGCATGAGATGCACCAAACCATTTCAGATCAAAGCTATAGGCCCAATAGTATTTAAACATATACATTAGGAGTAGATGGTATGGTTAGTTATATCATGGTATATGTTATTTTGATATTAATCGTAATGTACCAAATTTTCTAAAGAATGGGATGGATGGGTCAGATAAACCCCAGAGACATTTTATGGTTTGGCAAATTCAACTACCCAGAAAATCAATATACTCGATCAAATTAATGCAAAAATTATAGGAAAATCAAACAAAGTCAAGTTGTCAACTGTTCCACTCATTGATTTGCAACAAAAGCCTTTTTTGGACATGAACTCCAGAAAGTGTCCGAGTATAACTTCCTGAAGTTTGCTAGAACGCAGTAGCAGATCAGCAAGCAGTTGTGAATGTCATTGTTTCCAAACATTTCCATTTCCAAATTCTGTTTCTGTCCATCCAGACTAAAACGCAGCCCTGGAGTTTTCAAACTAAAACTGGGCCAGCAACGTTTCCAAACGTCTCTGTTTTATTGGCCTTAAGACTCTGGAGTAGCGTGGACGCCAGATGTAACAGAAACAAAGTGATGTGGATTTAGCCTGATGGGCTGAAACAGGTTCGGACCGAATAATGCAGCCTGCTGAGGTATATAAATAAAAAAAAAGATGTATAGATTTAAGTTACCCATGTTACTTGATGGCTAAAAAGTATTGCAGGGTTCCTTTAAAAGTCAAGACGTGAGTAGAAAGAAAACTCCAAACACTGCAGAGCACCTTCACCATTAGATTCAACTGTCCTCACCATCACTTTCACACAGTCCCTGACAGGCCCATACACACTGGTGTCACCCTGACAGGCTCCACAGCACTGACAGTCCCCTGCAGCTGAATTAGTTCATGAAGGTTTGGGTTTGAAATGAGTAAAAGGCGAAGGCAGGAATGGAAACGTTGATATATTTGACTACTTCCTGGAGTCTGGGAAGAGTCTCACACACGCACATATACACACGAGGGAGGTAGAAAGGCACAGAGAGGGGAGGGGGCAGTGTGCGTGTGCGTGTGCGTGCGTGTATAGTCACTTCAGTCCCTTCAGTCCCTGTGACAGACCTTTTCCCCTGACTGACTGATTACTTCCAGACTGTCTCGTAAAAAAACGTCGCAGTCCCATCCATGCGCCGTTTGGGCTCGTTGCGCTGCGCTTCTCCTCGGCGCCAGTGGGGGATCCTGAGACAATGCAGGGATGAGCTATTCACTCGCACACGCACGTACACACACACACACACACACACACACACACACACACACACACACACACACACACACACACACACACACACACACACACACA